CTCGCCCGTATGTATTGTTCATACTTAGTATCGACTTAGTGCTTCTTTGCTTGCTTTGGATTATTTGTACCTTCGCAATAGACGTCCTGCGTCCGGTGCTTTGACACAGGCTTCCTGTGAGAGGGTCGTCAATCGTGCGTGGAAATCGTGCTGAGCCTTGAGTGTATATGGCACCTGGACACACGTTTAGTGTGACAGGGTCGTCGATCTTGCATTTAAGCCGTACTAATCCTCGAGTGTTGGCACCCGTTCACACGTTTCGTGTGAGAGGGTCGTCGATTACCGGAAGGGGGGATGCCGTGTGGGGGGTGGGGGGGGGTGGGCTGACTACGCGGAACACGGGTGCAAAAATAGGTGTATGCGAGAATATTCTGCTATAGCTTTGATAGCATGGTAGGGCCGGGTGTGGTTTATAGTAGATTGCAGAATGCCTAGAAGTATAGCAAAACCCACGAGTCACCTCAGTGGGCCTTTTCTACGCCTCTTTCAAATTGCTTGCGAAGTTACACCAAAGCCTGAGGGTACCCTTGTCTACAATGGAGTAGAGTATCCTATAATACTCTGCTTCTGTCTACAACAGCAGTGTATGATACAATACTGTCAATACTGTACTATGTCTTATCAACGTGCGGTACATGGCCCACATGGGCCGGCAGGAAAGGACGGTGTGTCCTAAGCCCTAAATCCTTTGAAGTGGCTGGAGTAAAGGTCTGCCTTGGGGCGGGCTCCGCGGTCGCGAAGAATGCGGAGGCGGGCTTGTCGCCTAAAATTTAGGGTTCGTCAACACTACACCTGCCATCCCTTAACCCTCTCCACCCTCAGCCCCCGAACCCAAAGAATGCACTTCCCCCGCAATTGGCCCTAAATCTGTAAGTGATCCCTTACACCGTCAAGCCTGAAGCCTTGTATATCGCAACACTAGAGCCCTCCAAGCCACTTTGATTGCGAACACATTGCAACTCTGTGACCCTAACACACAAACCTCTAAGCTTGCCAAAGTCACGGTTTTCCCTTCCCAAAACCCCCTGAACACCCCTCAAGACCTCCCAAAAGCCCCCAACCCCCGCAAAACTCTAAACCCCTGGACCCTAAACATCTCTACACCCTACACCCCTAGCCCAAACCCTAAACTCTAAACCCTAAACCCTAAACCCTAACCCCTAAACCCTAAACCCTAAACCCTGAACCCTGAACCCTAAACCCTAGACCCTAAACCCTGAACCCCTAAACCCAAAGACATGACATCGGAGGCCCTGGGGTTGGCCTGGAAGGGTCCCTACTGCTCCACCAAGGCCACAGGGGTTTAGGGGTTTATCGGGTTTGTAGGGTTTCTCGGGTTTAGGGTTTAGGTTTAGGGGTTTATCGGGTTTGTAGGGTTTCTCGGGTTAGCAGTGGGGTTACGACCCCACCAATTCAGTGCAGCGGAGTGAAACCAGAAGTGAGTATAGCAATCATATACTTTCGATCCCGCAGTATCATATATACAGTAAAGTGATGCATGGCCTGTGCGAGTGTGCCTGTGTGTGATGTAAGAAAACCCTACACCCTAAACCTTAAACCAACCTCCGTATCAGTTGCGATCCGCCTGAGGCCCTGGTCGTCTTGTTCAGCCTATGCATCGCAGGCGTCATCGCGCATGTCTTCCTAAAGCTTGGGGCCATGGCTTACTGCCCTACAAAAGTCCTCAGTCTGTACCAAGGCGGCTGTTTTGTCGGATAGGATTTCGCACCACAAGGGTGCATTCTCCTCTCCTTTTGAGTTTTAACCCGCCTGGTGCGAGGGAGTTGCCAAGACCCTTGCACCGATGAATTTTGGTTCCCTGGTCCGCATTAGGCACCAAGAGCGTGCTCAGACTTTTAGTTGCATTTTATGACGGGGTCGGTTCGAGGGTTCATAGCGCAGAAAAATTCCTCTGTGGTAGGCTCAGCTGAAAGACCTCGCAGTTAGTCACAGTTAGTGGCAGCTGGCACCAAATTTTTCCATCCCATGACCATGATGCCACAAGGGCCATCTGGGGAATTGATGCGTTGGACCAGGCATGAAATGCTTTGCTCTTTTCGTGCTATACCCGGATGAACGCACCACAGCGACGACTGGTTACTACTGCCGCCGCTATCACCAGTAGTTTTTGTAGTCAGCTCTATACTTACGATTAGTACTACTACTCCTACTACTGTCACTACTACTACTCCTACTACTATCACTATCACTACTACTACTACTACTACTACTACTACTACTACTACTACTACTACTACTACTACTACTACTACTACTACTACTACTACTACTACTACTACTACTACTACTACTACTACTACTACTACTACTACTACTACTACTACTACTACTACTACTACTACTACTACTACTACTACTACTACTACTACTACTACTACTGCTACTGCTACTGCTACTGCTACTGCTACTGCTACTGCTACTGCTACTGCTACTGCTACTGCTACTGCTCCTGCTCCTGCTCCTGCTCCTGCTGCTGCTGCTACTGCTACTGCTACTGCTACTGCTACTGCTACTGCTACTGCTACTGCTACTGCTACTACTACTGCTGCTGCTGCTACTACTACAAAACATTGGGCCTTGGGAATGCCCTAAACCCCAAGCCCTAAACCCTAAACTCGTTTAAACTCTCAAGCTTAAGCCCTTAGCAGCATTCAAAGTGCAGGAGAGGACGCAGAACTGAGGAGTACAAGGTTTAAGGCAACCCAAAAAAGCAGAGGCCTCCTTCGGTGTAGGGTTTGAGGGTTTAGGGTTCAGGGTTTAGGGTGGCTTTGTGCTTCTCAGCACTGAGGTTGCATCCCGCCCTGTTTCAAATTAGTCACTCCTAGTTTTGCCGATGTATGCTTAATGCTAGTGTACTCTACATCAGATGATGCTCATGATGTGTATGGGCACAAGCGGCAGTTTAATTTCACTCCCAAGTTCGTGCTTCGGCACGTGCCGAACATCGGAGCAACTGCCGCTCAATCCGACGTCAGGTGGGCGAAACTTGACGGCGAAGCAAACTGGTGACTGTCCATATTCCGTGTAGTTGTGTCTTTAGATTGAGGGTTTCAGGGTTTTACAGTTTTAGGGTTTAGGGTAAACCTGAAGCCTGTAGCAAGCTCTGGGAACTCCAAAGCTTGAAGGCTTTAGGACCACGGTGGTATAGTGTTTAAGCTTCAAGTGCTGACGCTTAAGATAAAGACCTTCGTTATCCTCCCAGAACCTACTTCTCGTAGGGTCCCTCTAAAATCCACATTACGATGTATAATAAGAACCTACAAACAAGTAGGTTTTGGTAGTAGATTAAAAACAGAGCTAGCAAACACAGTCTCCGCAACCTACATCTCAAAATGCCCGGAACCGTAGAGCCCTGAGCCCCAAGTCCGATAATCCTAAACCCGAAAGCTGTAATGTCATAAACCCTCAACCCCTAAAGCCGTATAATAGAAGCTCAACCCTAAAACCCTAAACCTACAATCCTTAAACCCTAAACGTTTCACCTCCCATCCCAAGAGTACTTGCGAGCCTCAGATGGGCAAAAGCGGCAGGCTTTGGGGGGTTTGGGGGTTGCGGGGTTTAGGGTTTGGCTTTAGGCGGGAGGGTTTAGGGGTTGGGGGTTTAGGGTTTAGGGTTGTTGAAGGTCTGGGCTTCAAGATTCAAACGGGAAAAGGAGGGACCCTTAATGGGGACCCCTACCCCATAATGGGCTATATAATGGGTATATAGTGGCTATATTAAGGGTATATACCTTGGGGTCCTTATTAGGGGTCCCTCCTGTTACCCTTGGAAAGATCGTTTGGGGTTCAGGGTTTGCGGTTGCTCAGGGCTCTGGGGTTGCTTGGGGTCCAGGGTTACGGGTTGTTTCACTAGGTAGGGCTTTGGGACATTTTATATTTTCCCTTATTGGGCTTAAGATGATCTTACCTACTAATATTTTTCAAAGGCTCTAAAAGCCCCACCTAGTTACCTAGTTCAGGTTCAGGGATGTTTAACGGTTTAGGGTTTAGAGCTGAGTCCGCCCCAAGCAAGGCGTGTGTTTCAACTTATACCCAGACCGTAACCCTAACTGAACTTTAAATCAATTAATACATGTACTTTATGGCTGCTCTGAGCCCTTGGAGGCAAATTACGGTTCTCAGTGCTTTTGAAGATGTTGCTTCGCTTGGAATGTTTCTAGGCTTTATTATGTGTTTGTCCGACCTCTAAAGACCCCCCCTCTTTTGCACTCTAACAGCCGAAGCCCTATAAAACCTAATAATCTCTGCAGCATTTCAGCCCTAAGCCCTCATCGAATAACCTTTTAACCCTGCAGCCCCAAAGCCCTAAACTTGACTCTGATTGTTCCACCAGGGTCGCATTTCTCTAGGCTGGAGTAGGGGCGGCGGCCTTTTTTCCGAAGTATCAGACAGTTCATTCCTCCACCTACTGGCGCCACCTTGAAACCTCTAGGGTTCAGGGTTTGGGGCCTAGGGTTGAGGGTTTCTTAGATTTTTAGGGTTTTAGGCTTTAGTGTTCAAGGTTTTAGGGTTTGGGGTCTTGGGTTTTGGGGCTTAGGGTACAATTGTGTGGTGACGTTTGTCTACCGTCGGACGTCATACTAGTTTGGGTACACTGGCTGGGATTGGAGTCGTTTCGTAATTAGCTCTGTGGCAACATCATGGCCACAGCGTCAGATTCTCAACATACCCATACTAGCAGTACTTGCGATGTCACTGTCATCGTCCGATGGCCGCCATGATAGCACCATTGGCAGTTCAGGCAAAAGGGAAGCAACCACCACAAACAGAACAGGGTAGTCCCATAACGCGTAATCAAGCATTGTATGCTCTACGAAAGCTTCATATTTCGCTCTCTGGGAATTTCAGGGTCTAAGTACTTCGTATTTATGGTTTTGGGTATCCAAAAAGGCTAAGTCTTATAACAAGCAGTACTTGGACCCTTAGGGGGCAACCGAACACGGTTTGCAGCCTTGGCTGTGCCCCGAGCTAAGCGACGCAATGGCTTTCTTGAGTGTGACGAACGACCTGCAGACCCCCATCGAAGTGAGACATCGGAGTGAGGACTGGGAGCTCGTCTATCCAACGATGTCCTGCGACGTCAGAGTGGCGGATGAAGCGGTCGCTTCGGTCGAGATTCGATTGATTGAAAGCCCGGAGGTGACGGGCAGCTGCCAGGCTGCCAGCGGCTCCTCGTTACGCGCCTCCGTGGACTTCGGTGCTTTCAGCCGGCAAGCGAAGGGCCGGGACCGAGCCGAGGCACGGGAGCTGGCCCGTGAAGCAAAGCGACGGGAGGAAGCCCGGAAGCGGACGGAAGCGATGGTCAAGGAGGCCGCCGCCAAGAAACGGGACAAAAAGGCGTGGTCTTATGTTGCAGCGATGTCGATTATGGCTGGGCTCCCATTTGCTCTCCTGGTAGTGTGCGTTTCGATTCCACCCGAAAGCACCGTTGCAGCCGCACTTCTGGCCAGTGCCACTGTGCCTCTGTGCTGCTGCATCAGCATTTCTTCCTTCTTTGGGACTGGTCAGAACGAAGACGAACAGTTTAGATATGGAAAGTATCACACCGTTCTCCGCCTTGGCCTTCGGTTGGTGGGCGTCCTGGCTTTGATGTCTCTCGCAGCCATGACGGCGCAGCACATCCTGCGAGGTTATTGGTGGACGGCAGCTATCGTTTGGCCAGTGGCCATTTGCGGTGGCGTAATGTTCTGTGTTTGCTGCTTCGTCGATGTCGAACTGGACGACGAGCAGAGGAAAACCCTCGAGAGAGAGCGCGAGGAAGCCCACGGCGAAGTCAGCAACCGCAGCATCCGCTTCGAAGGAAGCGTTCTCCGTGAACCTGGCCGCCCCTGCGTGGCCAGCTGGCCTGGAAAGTACGAAGGAGCCTGGGAGTCCTTGGTGTCTCAGGGCCGACACGGCGAGGTCAGTGCAGCGGTGGTCTTCCTCCCGCAGGGCACGGAGGACTACGGCAAGTGCGACAGCATCCCCGAAGCCGAAGGCTTGCCCGGTACCTGCTGGTGCATACCCCTCTACGGGGAACAGAAGCCTTGGGGTTGTAGGTGGTTTACCAAATGGAGGGAGAACATCGAAACGGCCGTGGAATCCGGAGCAGAGCTTGAGGTGTACTACTTCCAGAGGCATGTGGGCAGAGGCAAAGTGGAGAGCTTCGATTCTGCAGGCCAGGACAACCTCCGGAGAGAGAAGGTCAATAAGAAGCAAAAAGAGTTCCAAGACTCTCCCCAGTTCGAGCAAGCGCTGGACGCAGGTCTCGGCAATCTATCCAAGGAGCCGCGTGGCGACGGATCCTCCCAGTATAGCCGAGAAGTGCGGCGTTTGTTCATCGCGTCCCTCCCAGAAGTAGAGCGCGAGTTTATCACAGCTTCAGAAGGCCTGGGTAACTCCCAAAAAGCAGAAGTGGCCTGGCTGGAAAAGAAGGGCTACGAGTACTGGGGGGTGGACGTCGCCACCTGGCTCCCGGGAGAAGGCGTTGAGATCTGCGTCCCAGCATGTGCCGAACGGCAAGCGCAAGTGTGCGACGTTTCACCAATCGCCGTTTCGATCGCCAGAGAGTAGCGACTGAGAAAAGAGCTCTCCCTAAGTGTCCATGTACCCAAATAGTATATAACTTCGGCCTTGAAGTACTCCATATATAGGTAGATTGGGCCCAAAGTATCTGCTATTTGGGTACATGGAATTTTAGGCTCTTGGAGCATATCAGACCTTGTGCATGAAGGCTGGAACTCGAAGAGTCAAGGATTCTTCTTGCAGTGCCGGACCTATGCCCAAACCATGGGTGTGCTTGTCAAAGTTATGGTCCTTTTTTTTAGGTAACCTAAATATTAGGTGCCGTATTATAACAAGGACCCAAAAAAGGACCATAATTTTGACAACCAACCATGGGGTTTCTTGAGGCCTTCGGGTTTTTAGGACTCAGGGTTGAACTTAGACTTTCGTGGGTTCTGCAGTTCACTGTCGCATGCCGCGTCGCCCTGGCACGCTCCAGACCAGACGCTCGGAACAAGTCAAGCATCAATCGTTGGGACTGTGCTTAATACCCACAGTTTCAGCTCTAAACATGTATCCTGTTGAAGGAGCTTAAATAATTACCAATTCTAGTTTTGCGACCCGCAAGCCTTATGCTGGCTATTCTAAATTATGATGCTCCTGTATTATAACCCTAAGGGCCCAAAGCACCCAATAATCAGGTACTCGGGTTTGGGATGATAGCAATATAGGTTACTATTTTGGGGGGTATACGATAGTCGTTAGGTACTTGGACCCTTGGGGCAATGCAACCTCAGTGGTTGCCTTGGTTTTAGAGGTCTTTTCGGCCTCGCAGCCGATTCCCTAAACCCCAAATTCTAAAGCCGATGGTCCGATGCAGCAAGCCGGACAGCGCCTCGTTTGCAAAATGTCGGGGCCTGGAGGTTACCGCTATGGGAAGAGTACAAGTGGTGTACATGAGAGTATATATTTGGCGTATACTAGAGTATACTGGAGTATAGAGATAAAGGATAGGAGAGTAGATTCGAGGATATTATTGTATATTCCAGGGTTCACGGTTTAGAGGGTCCAGGGTTGAGGGTTCGAGTGTTCAAAGGTTCAAGGTTTTGGGTTTAGGTAAGTATTTTTCAATAATGTAGCAATGTACCTCCCCCCCCAATGCACGATCCTAGTTATTGAGGCCACGATACTCTTTCCTTCAAGTCGGCGTGAAGATAAGCCCCTCGTGGCTCGTGTCTCTCCCCTACCATACAAGTCAACTCTCTACTTGAAGGCTCTTGGGACTTAGTAAGTAAGGTTATAAGTAGGTTATACTTAGGATAACCCCACTTAGGGGACTTATAACCCCAATTATAACCTACTTACTAAGTCCCAGGATCCTCTAAGTAGACCCTAAACCCTAAACCCCATAGATTCCCTTAAGGAGCCCTATAGATCCCTTTAAGGAGCCCTTGAAGAACCCTTACTAAGTCCCGTGATCCTCTAAGTGAGTCGGCAGTGTAGACCAGACCAGGAGCCTTCTTATGGAAGTCTGACGCGGCTGATGATATAACTCCTGCATTACCTGAACCCTAAGGGTCCATGTAGTCATATGGTATGTACATTGGCCTTAAAGTATTCCCTATATAGGTACATTGGGCCCAAAGTATATGCTATATGGGCACATGGACCCTTAGGGTGAATATGTAGACTGTGGGAATTATGGTATATTCCGTAGTATGGGTAATGCAGGATTTACATCATCAAGCGTATCACCCAGCCTTTTCAGAAAGGTTTATTCTCAACTTGGGGATAGATTGGGCTCTCCCTGTTATAAGCTGTAATTGAAAACCCTAAACTCTCAACCCCGAATACCCCAGTATTTCTGCACATGTCTAAGCTCTCTCTAAATTCTACTTTTAATTTCTTAAGATTACAACTCAACACATAGACACGCCTATAATATTATCATATACTCTACATCTTGACTTGTTGTTACTAACCGTCTCTTCGCCCGTCTCGCGCGCAACTCGGAGTTTGTAAGGCCTTGAGTTTAAAGTTTAGGGTAAGTAGGATTGTGGTTTTGAGTGTGGTGTTTGGGGATGTTTGGGGTCGGGGTAGTAAATCTGTGGTTTTGAAATAGGGGATTTAGTTTAAGTTACCATAAAATCCCTATTATGGTATCTTAAAAGAATCCTAACAAGAATCCAGTTTTGAGATAGGGGATTAGGGTCTGGGGGAAGACCTGCCCTAGAGCAACCCGGGGAGACCGTTGAAATCGTGAGTCCTCCTTGTTACGGAACCATCCTAGTGCAACTGCATGCTCAAGGAACCCTTAGGGTTTAGGGTCAGGGATGATTTAAGGTGCAGGTTTAGGGTTTAGGATGATTTAAAGTTCAGGGTTTAGGGTTTAGGATGATTTGGGGTTTAGGGTTTAGGATGATTTTGGGTTTAGGGTTCAATGTTTAGGATGATTTAGGGTTTAGAGTTCAGGGTTTAGGATGGTTTAGGGTTCAGGGTTTAGGATGGTTTTGGGGTTTGGGGCCCTTGGCCCAGGACCCGGAAACTTGCAAAGCAAAGGCGTCCATTTGCATCGTGAGGACCCGTCACGGTAAATCCTGTCATGTCACATGGCACGGTGCCCCATTGCCCAAAAGGTCAGCGCAGCACTTTAGAAGGCCTTGGGGTAGAGTTACCTAATAAAACTCTAGCCTTAAATCCAAAAATCCCGGTTGCTGACAGTCGCCATGTCGTAATGTGAGGCATGCCATGTACTTCTCCGACGAAGAGGTCCTTCAGTGCTGGCGAAGTAAGCACTATAAGAGCCTAGTACCACCAAATTGCAGCTTGAGATACAGGCAGAGTGTCTCGCTTAAAAACTTAAGCAGTTTTGTTGGGACCTCCACACGCTTGTAGGTTGCAATGCTGGGCCCGTGTAGCCACAATAGCCAGCCGTAAACCTTAAACCCCTAAACCCCTAAACCCCAACCCCTAAACCAGAAAAAAACATAGTTTTCACCTGAAGCTAAAGTTTTAAAGGCGTTGACCGGGACGAATGGAAAGGCTTCTGTCATGCGTTGTCACTACCAGAACATATATGAGCGACTACCAATATTACTGTGCAGCCATGAGGAATCTAACTTTACAAGAATATCCCCCAGAATCCTCTAAACTATCGGTTCGATGCTGTTTCTTACGGATTCCGGTGGCGGCTTCGTCGGCAGTCTCTAGTTGGGAGTGTAGGGATGCGGCACAGGTTTAGGGTTTAAGGTTCGGTATCGGAACTCTCTTTGAAGCTCGACAATCCGCAGAACACTGCAGGTCATTAAATACCGAAGCCCCAGCAGACATGCAAATGATCCTTATTGCATAGAGGCCTTGTGGAACTAGCTAGCAGGTATTATGCATGTAGCATGGGGCAGTTTGGGTGTTCACGCAGGCCCCTAAACCCTAAACCGAGTTTACAGGTTTAGGGTCTTGCGGGTTGGGGGTTGCAGGACGGGGTTTCTGCTCTTTAGTGGGTTGGTGCATAGGGTCCACGAGGCTTGCAGTTTGCCTTCTTGCACTGGGTGCTTCTACAGAATCTAACGGCGCGTAGTCAACATCCGGTTGTCCCCATGAAACTGGCTGATGGTTTCTGTTCCCTTCTTTACCCATGTGCTGTCTCATATGTCGTAGCAGGATTGCCGTAGCAGGATTGCAGTACCTAAGCACGTCGATGTTGCAGTTTCAGGACATGGCACGATCGGGCGCTACACCATCCTCCACCCCGAAACTCCCCTTAAACCAACACTTGATGCCGTCAGGCCGGACGGCTGTACACTGAAGTTTCACACCCGAAGCTCTGTAGCCCCGACCCAGATCTTCGAATGTCCCCTGATATTCGTTCATGGACTTTCCGAAAAGGGGGACCGATATGTAGCACTCAATAGTAGGATCCTCATTATAAGGACCCCAAAGTAATGAACCCGTACATATTCGGAAACTCAAACTCACAAATATAGCAGGATTCAGCAGGACTTGATGTATATTCCGTCATCAACGGATTTCGGAAGATCTGGGAAACTCTAAAACCCGAGGCTCTCTGGAGCCTGGGTTCTACAGCCCTCAACCCCACCCCATACCAGGCGCCTTAATCGTTACAATAGATTGAGGTATACGGTTGATGGTATAAATCCTGCATTATAAGGAAATACCATAATTCCCATAGCTTCTTCAGGTAATGCAGATTCATATCATCAACCGTATTATACTACAGTTATAAGAAGGAGCCCCCAAATGGTATTAGTAATCATTTAGGCCCCTACCTTAAGCACCACAAAACCCTTCATAGTAGGGGCCTTTTGCCTTATACTACTATGAACCCTCGCATGGTATATGAACCTTAAAACCTTTCAGGGCTTCATGTCGTCTTTAAGGTAAGGCACCCCGGTAGGGTTAGGGTTTCGGGCTTAGGGTCTAGTTCAGGGTTTAGGGCCTGGAGTGCGACGATATCCGCACCCTCAGGATCAAGGGCCTAAATATCAGGATTAGAACGCCATCCAGAATATGGAGTGTGGGACCTAGAGGGCTACTGTTTGAGGAGTTGACCTAAGTATAGTAGGACCCTCAATACGATTTAATGTATATCCCCTAATGAAGGGACCTTGGAAAATGAAGTGTGGGACATGCAAGCCTGCTCTTTGAGTGCTTGCACCCGTGGGGGCAGATAGTATGGGAATTTCAGAAAATTAGGAGTGTCCACTATTGTTCCTCTGGAGAATCATAGACTTGAGGGTAAATGTTCCACTGATGAGAGTTAAGGTTTATGGCGCACGAAAGGTGCTGAAACCACCCGAATAATCCGACAAGCGATGAGTTTGCTAGTGTCTGGAAAGCCTGCGCAGAGAGGAGAGAACACGAGGTTAATGCTTAGGGGCAGGCCTTCTGGCACACACCTACTTGGAGGGTCGGGGGACTTAGTAAGTAGGTAGTAAGTAGACTTATAAGTACCCTAAAAGGAAAATAACCAGTTGCTAAGTCCCCCGACCCTCCAAGTACACCCTAACTCCCAGCCCCGAAGATTGGCATGCTCCATGCTTGATGGCTTCCAGCATTGACATGGCACAGGCACCCAAAGCAGAGTTCTTCATCCTAGATACTGTAGATACCTTTAGAGACTAAATGTTTTCAGCGGTAGGAGCCTTGCACCCTGAGAGTTTGAATTTCTATATGGGAGTTTCCGAAAATTAGGGTGTACCTTATTTTGGGGTCCTTATAATACGGATCCTACTATTTTAGGGTACTATATTAGGGTCCCCTATTTTCGGAAACTCCCATATAGCATACGAACCCTAAGCCCTTTTAGGGTTCATTTCGCCTTGAAGATATGACTGCTCGAGCAGCTCATTCCGGTGCTTGTGCTGAAGTGTGTGAAATTTGGTCTCACCCCAGCTTTTATGAACATGGAGGCAGGCTCTTCTAAGGAAGGCGCAGCCGACCATGTCTACTCTTTCTGGGACTCTTTGTTTCATTTTTGGGGGGTTGAGGGTTTAAGGCGTGGGGCTTGGGGGCATGTGTTGTGAAGTTTTGTTGTCTTGTAGGAGCCATTAAGATCAAAACAGGCATGCAGACTGCGAACATACTTTCTCGGTTGCATGTGAAACTAGGACTTACATCGCATGCTGGCTGACTGCTATGTCGCAGAAACTGGCCGACGTCGAGGTGCCTTGCCATCAGCCCTCAATTCAGGGTTCCCTTTTCTGAAATACATTACGGTACGCTAAACCCCAAACCCTAATCCCCAACCCTCCCAACCCTAAATATGTTGCGGTACGAAGCCCCCCCCCACCCCGAACAGGTGCTCAGCTGCTCAGCAGCTCAGGCCAAATTTGCCATCGCCGAGACCGAGACCCCCCAAACCTCAAGAACCCGAACTTACAAGGGTTGATTTATCGTTTAGGGTTTAGGGGTTTAGGGTTGTTTAGGACTTTCTAAAGTTTGTGGCTTAAGGCTCACGAAAAGTTTCCGGTGGTTTTCACTTTGAGGGGTTTACAGGAATATGTAGGAACCCAGACCTTCCAAAATCCCTTAATTAAGGAATATACCTTAAGTCATATTAAGGGTCCTACTATAATTTGAGGTATATTCCTTAATTAAGCGATTTTGGAAGGTCTGGGAACTACAGCCCCAAACTAGGTCCCTGAGTCTGAGTGGTGCCCTTTTGCCTTTTTTATGGTAGGATCTCCATATGGGTGGTTCGCAAAATTATGGTCCCTTTTTGGGTCCCTATTGAATTATTGTAATACGGCACCTATTTTTTTAGGGTACCCCAAAAGGAACCTTAATTTTGACAACTACCCGTATTCAAACCGAACAGTAGGAAAAAAGATACCCTGCTCATGAAGGGGCTACTCAGGAGCCCAGCAGAAATGCCCAGGTTCGTTCCTGCATCCGGGGCGCGCCGGCGCTCCGGACAAGAACGTACACGCGTCGCAGGAGGAAAACTTTCTGCGCCTTCCGCTCCCAAGCAACAGTGGCCAGGCTTTGTTGGGGTCTTCTTAAATGGGGCCGCCGCACCTAGACCCCTGAACCCTAAACCGTGCCACAAGATTGGAGTGCTTGATTCTTCGGGGCTGTGAGTTCGAGACTTTCAGGACCCAGACCAGCAGCGATTCTGCCTCGAGTGATGCTGGATTTGCAAGGCTTCGGGCTAGACGGTATGAGGTCACTGGTTTCATATACATAAATGAGCCAAAAATTCACTGATTACATACATATATTTCATGTATTTACTGACGAAAAACTCTATCTCTCTCTCTCTCTCTGTTTCTCTCTCTCTCTCTCTATATATATATATATATCTATATATATGCATATTTATATGTGTACATATATATATATATATACTTATATGTATATACACACACCAACAAACACACTTACGCATACATGTGTGTATATGTATGTGTGTGTATATATATATACACATATGTACGTTTATGAGTTTCTTGGTTTTCTTACGTAGTGGTTTGTGGGCTATTTTCGTACGTATGTATGTTCGCATGTGTATTGTATGTATTTATGCATGTACGCATGTATGCATATTGTGCGTATGCAGGTATGCATGTATGTATGCATTCATTTATGCATTCATGTAGGTGTATATATATATATATATATATATATATATATTCATGTATGGATGCTTGTACGGATGTAATTATTACGATGTATTGGGTTGTATTGTTTCGTTGTGCAGTGTAATTTGCTTTGCTTGTATGGTATGGTGCTGCATTGCGCTGCATTGTAATGTGTTGTATCGTATTGTCTTCTTTTGTCTTGTTGAGTTGTAGTGTATCGTGTTGTATCCTATTGTGTCGTATTCTAACGTGTTGTATCGTATCGTATCGTATGGTATTGTGTGGTCTTCCCTTGTCTTGTGTATTGTATTGCGTTGCATTGCATTGTAATTGTGTTGTGATGTATGGTGTTGTAATCGTACTGTATTGTATTGTACTGTATTGTGATGTATTGTAATGAACTGTAATGTATTGTGTGTGAACACATGGCGTTTCAGGGGTTAGGGTTATGAAGTTACGGCCCGGTACACGTTGAGGAACCCCATAGTTCCAGGAATCATTCCGTGACTTTGGGGTGGCAAGGCCTCAAAGGACCCATAATTGGGTACTCAGGTTTAGGATAGTAGTTTTGTAGGATTCGTAGGTTAGGTGTTTGAACGGTCGGTGTCTTGCCCGACTTGTCTCGGAGACCCTGTCGGAGCCCAGCCACAGACTTAGGTCCCAGGGTTTAGGATTTAGGGGGTTAGGTTTCAGGGTTCACCATGTTCCTGAATAGTACTTGGGGTGTCCGTATTAAAACAATAAATATCGAAAAAGGGCTCCCTTAAGAAAGGAGGCTACTCGGGAACCTTGTTTAGCCTTTGGGGTAGATGTTTGGTCAGTTAGTTGTGCTGAAGGACCAAAGACTGAAACAGCAGCCACCACAAACGGGACCGATCTTCCAGGAAACTGTAAGACTGTAAGCTGGTATGAAGCAAGACGAGACCATCGAAGTAGCGCAAGTAGCCATAGAAGACTATAGTAGAACCCTTAAGATGATTTGCATAATTTTCCTGAAAACCTACACTCTAAGCCATGCCTATCACCCTAAGGCTCCAACCTTTAAACCGTATTGGAGTTTCATGAGCTTCTGAGGTGGCAGGCGCATGAGCATTTGCATCAACGTCCCAGCGGCTGGAAACACGCCAGATGCAGAAAGCCCGCCGGGCGATGAGCCCACGTCGAACACCCTAGGTCAGGATCTCAGCAAGAGCTTAACCCTACTAATAGTAGAATGTAGGGTTTCGGGAAAAGGAAGTACTAATTATTATGGTGTGGTCTGGGAAGGAATCCCCCATATACAGTAAGCCCCATAAAGTTGGAAACCGGATGAAGGCGAACTAGTGTTGGGATTTGCTATACATCACACTCTTAAGGATTGAGGCTATAGGGTTTCCAACTTTTGGGCTTTTACTGGAGGTACCTAGGACCCTTTGGGGTGGGGTAGCACATCCTAGAAGGGTCTCGCAAGGACGCAGGACCTAGAGGTTCTAGAATCCCGTGGTGAAGCAAGATAGTCCTTAAGCAATAAACCCTAAGCCACAGTTTTTGCGTAGGAATCCTTGAAGGATTCAGAGAGCCCACATTGAGGAGTATGCTTGGAATAATACCCTGAAGCCGTATGGGTTTTCAGGTATGCGCTGCCCCCCCTAGGGATATTGGGCTCTCTGGATACCCTGGAGAGGACAGTCGGGATCCTTGCAGGAAACCTTGTCTAGGTGACACTTAACCTTGCAAAAAGCTCTGGCCGAGGGTTGACGCTTTACGCTTAGGTCCAGGGATGTCTGGTAGGGAGCCACGACTCACTACTGTTGTAAGGGTTATGGAGTTTTGAGGTTAGGGTTCCCTGAGGGTCCATGTGCCCATATAGCATATACTTTGGGCCCAATGTACCTATATAGGGAATACGTTAAGGCCAATGTACATACCATATGACTACATGGACCCTTAAACCCCAAACCATCCTAAATCCCTATAGAACCCTTATAGTAGACCCTCAAAGGAACCCTATATGAGTACAGGGATATCCTATCGAAGGGGTCAGACCGAGACCTCTACTAGCTTGCAGGGTTTGGGGCTGTAGGAACACATGGGAGTTTCCGAAAATTAGGGGTACCTTATTTGGAGGTCCTTATAATAAGGATCCTACTGTTTGTTCTACTATATTAGTGTCCCCTATTTTCGGAAACTCCCACATAAGTTTCAAAGGGCTTCTTGCAGATGATCAACCACGGCATATTCCAGGAATGAGCGGTGGTGGTGTCACGGCGTCGTTGGGGAAAGCTTAAAACCCTAGACATGTTTGGGCCCGGGCAGGTGCGATACCTCCCCGTCCGCTCGAGCCAAAACCGCCAGATGGCGACTCTGTCTGCATCTGTCCCCAAAGGGTCCAAGTTCTCCGCTAGTACGGGTTTAAGGTCCCAAATACTATACTCTGAATGGTGTTTGGCACCTTAAACCCTACTGTTTGGGTACTTGACCCTCTGGGTTAGTAGCTGGGTAAGCAGCCTTTCATCTTATGACCTGTCAGTCGTGGTAGGATTTTAAAATGCATGAAAGAGTAAATTTGAATCCTTCGGCGGCTGTACATATCTATTGCAATGCAGAGGTTTTTGTGGCAGCCTCAATAATCCCTTCCCCCTAATATTAAATGGTCGGGGCCCCCCCCCCTTCGCCCTAAATAAAAACTCGAGAATGTTTTTATAATTAGGGTCCCGTTGTTATCTCAACTGCCAGAAACACAGGTTCTACAAGTAATTAAATGATGAAAATGATGACGATGAAAATGATGATGACGATTACGGTGATGCTTGTTATGATGAAGATGGCGGTAGTGGTGGTGATGGTAATGATGACGATGATCATGGTCCAGGAGAAGAACATGATGATGATGTTGTTGTTGATGATAGCGATGCTGATCTTAATGAGCATAATGATGGCAAGGGCTGTTGATTCGTACGGTGTCGATCATGGTTGCACTAGTGCAGAGCACATGTGGTGAATGCCAGAAGCTTGGAAATATGTGAAAGACTTAAATTAATGATAATTAGATATGAGATGAACTAATTAATGATGTTCCAAGCTTCTGGCATTCGCTACAAGTGCTTTGCTTCTGAGAGTTCTGTCAGCAATCTGCCCGCTCCGCCACAGACAGGCAGCCTCAAAGGAGGCCTTTGTGCCTTGGGGCACGAAGGCCCGAGCCACAGGCTGTCAAACAGACACTCTGTACTTCAATTACTGCACTACTGCTAACTGTTGTGGAAGTGTTGTGGGCCGGAAATTGAGCCCGCGACCCTGCCCAACACGCCCTACTCAAACGGCTGCCCCCAGTTTCCTCTAGTCGCCCATAGCTCAGCGGGCAGGGGGATGGCTCACAAGCCCTTCTGGAAAAAGGGCGCGGGCTCAAACCCCAGTGGCGTCATTTAGACCCTTTGACGTTAATAAGGGCTTAATAAGGCTTTAATAAGGGCTTAATAAAGCCTTAATAAGCTTCTTATAAGCCTTAAATAAGGCTCTAACAAAGCTTTAATATGGCTTTAATAAGGCCTTAATAAGGCCTTAATAAGCTTCTTATAAGCCTTAAATAAGGCTTTAATATGGCTTTAATAAGGGCTTAATAAGGCCTTAATAAGGGACTTAATAAGGCCTTAATAAGGGCTTAATAAGGCCTTAATTAGCTTCTTATCAGCCTTGTCAAGCCTTATAAAAGCCATATTGAAGCCTTATGACAGCCTTTATTAAGGGCTTTTCAGGATCAGCCAGGGCCAGCCAATATCATCCAGCATCAGCAAGAAACAGCCAGTTTCAGCCAGTACCGGTCAGTATCAGCCAATATCAGGATCAGCCATCGTGGTAGTGGTAGTGGTAGTAGTAGTAGTAGTAGTAGTAGTAGTAGTAGTAGTAGTTGTTGTACTTATAGTATAGTTAAATCATGGCGAAGCGTAGGGCCAGGTGCCAGCTCTGCAGTGAACGCCTTAACCGAGGCCCACAAGGGGGAGAGAAAAAAAAAAGGGCAAAGAAAAAAAAATGTCAAAAAAACTAGGGTCCCCTCCTTCCTGCCTTCCTTCCTGTCTGCCTGCCTGCCTGCCTTCCTTCCTTGCTGCCTGGCTTCCTTCCTTGCTTCCTGCCTTCATTCCTTCGTTTCTTCCTTCCTTCCTGTCTGCCTGCCTGCCTTCCTTCCTTGCTGCCTTGCTTCCTTCCTGGCTTCCTGCCTTCCTTCCTTCCTTCCTTCCTTCCTCGCCCTTTCTCCCCGCCTTCCTTCCTTCCTTCCTTCCTTCCTTCCTGCCTTCCCTCCTGCCATCCTTCCTTGCTGCCTTTCTTCCTGCCTTCCCTCCTTCCTTCCTTCCTTCCTGTCGTGCTTCCTTTAATACGGGAAAGTTTTTTTTTGATTGGAAAAAAGTTTTTTTTGATTGAAAAAAAGTTTTTTTTTGATTGAAAAAAAGTTTTTTTTGATTGGCATCCCCTAAACCTTCCCCCTAATTCAAATTAGGGTTTAAAGGGCGGTGCTACATCCGGGTGGATCGGGGGAAAAGTGTTTTTATAATTAGGGATCTCTTTAGTAAATGGGGGAAGGGATTAACTCCAAAGACTATTCCTGAGAGTCGCCCCAAAACCGATTGTGATTATTGAGGTTCCTATATTCACCATTTTTGGGCCGGGAAACTCAGCAACGAAGCTTTTCAAGAAAAGGGGACGCTAATCTTCTCGCTCCCTGATACGAGAATCGACCCAAGAGCTTAGTAACACGCAGCCCTAAAACCCGGGAAGCGTCGTTTTGCATCCTTGCTTGGAGATGCAGGGGACGTAGCAAGTAGGTTATAAGTAGAGTTGTAAGTACCCTAAATGGAGTTACCCCAAAGTCCCCTGCCCCTTCAAGTATTCGTCCCGAGCATCATCCCGAGAATCGCGCCCAAGACTCAAGGCTTAAGCATGCATTTCCGGGTTTCTCATTATGACTGACTTTTGCCTAATTACGTCTTCCTTATATATGTCCTAAATCAGTGTAATCTGTGGAGGATTTGGGATTATGGTGCATACGTTTCTAGTTCTTCATTATGACCGAATAATGACTATTTACCTGGGGATCCAAAAACCACTGTTTTAAGGCTTCTACCATGTAGTTAAAAGGGGTCATAACCTACTATTTTGTTCGGGTTTGGGGATACAGATATGACTGGCTTATGATTGCTTAAAGGGTCATACAGCGATAAGTACCTGAAGTGGGGTTACATTTATAAAGTATAGTGACCTGACTTATAACCCGAGTTACCAATCCAAGTCCTCATGATCCTTCAAATACCCAAACCTTCCAAAATCATTTAATTGCGGAAAATATCTTGAATTATAGTATGATCAGGGATTTTGGAAGTTCTGGGTATGGTCCAGCCTGAGCCCACAAGCGAGGTGACCTGGCGAGCCTGCCTGCGAGCAAATCACCAGACCTACTGCAAGCCTTGCAGCTTCGGCTAGGTTCCTGAGTAGTGCCCTTTTGCCATTTTTAGTTTAGGGTCCCCTTATTAAAACCGAATAGTAGGAAAAAGGGTAGCCTTATGATAAAGGGGTTACTCAGAAACCTAGCCGGTGAAGGGTGCCCGATGTAGGGGCCTTTATTATTCGGGGTTTAGGGTTTAGGGGAGTACTTGAATAGGGTTCGGGGGGTATATTTAACATAATACAATATTAAATATATATATATATATATATATATAAATACATATATATATATATATGATATATGTATGTGTTATATGTATATATGATGGGAATTATTTGGGCCCCCCGATAAGAAGCTCCCACAGGCCCTAAACCCTAATCCCCTGCGCATATAATATAACTGTAGAGTAGGTAAGCTTTAGCTTTTCTGTGGTAGTTTAAATCCTTGTATACTCCTAGAATCAGAAGGTTGACCTATGGGACACAAGTATGCCTAGCGAAACACACGTTGAGGATTTAGGACATGGCTGGTTCCTTAGGTATGGGACTGTGGAGTCTCTGGGTAAGCAGTTTTTTCTCTGTGTGCGGTGAAACCTATCGACATTGAATTTTAACATGTTGCGGAGGGGTGTGATGCGTGTTTATAATTGGTGCTTGGGGGTTTGGAGTGTATACTTTGTCAAAGTTGGGTAGCATTTTACATGTTTATGGATACTTAAACCCACTAAGGATTGAAATGTAAGTTTTTAATCCTGTCCCAACCATGAACTAGTATACCCCGAACACTAAACCCTAATCCCTCTGAGCAAACGAGGAGGAGGCTGCACCGTTCGGAGATCGAGGAGGAAGCCTCCGATTCGGACAGTGACATCGGGACCATCCGACTGCACACCCGCTTGTGCCTAGGTCGTCGAGGGTGTCTGGAGGAGTTCGAACAGGATTTCTATGAGGTCTCAACAACGGTCTCTGAAAGAGTTCGATAAGGGCTTCCATTTCTACGGGTTCCTAGAAGACTTCGATAAGACAAACAACGCATTCTATAAAAGTTTCATAAGAGTCAGGGTTGTCAGATTTAAAGTTTTAGGTTTCAGGGCTGCATTGGGGTAGGATAAGGGCTGGCTTCGCTTTTGTCAGGGGCACACTCGGGATCCAAGGTGCTGGCAGGAAGATGCGCAAGTCCGCACCACGCATCGAAAGCTAGCTGGCGTGAGTAGCATAGAAGCTGGAGCGCCGAGCGGCCTGACAGGCCCCGTGTATGGTCCACCTGCCTTCAGCCCACCCAACCCTAGACCTGATAATGCTCTACACTGTTCAGGGTTTTAGGGTTTCGGGTTTAGGGTCTCTACATGAGTTTCTACAGAAGCCCAACCCAACCTAGGACGTGGTCCGCTCATGTTCGCGCCTTCCTCAGGCATCAGCAGCAGCTTGCGAGAGTCCCGGCGGTGGGCCTGCATGCTCCATCCCAGTGGTACTTTCCGAGCGTTTTGGAACCTCATGGTGACTGCCTTCGTGATGTACGACTTGCTGGTCACTCCATTGCCTCTTGGAGCATGCTAAGTAGCATGGCAAACCCTGCCAATGCACAGCCAAGTACACCCCCGCATCGCAGCTGAGCCCTGTAAACCAAAAGACCTACAGACCCCAAATCCCGAACCCTAAACGCCAAACCCTAACCCTAAACTACCTAGAGGCTCCATAGTAGTTCCTTTTTGGGGATCATACTTAGAATCCTATAAGGTAATCCCAAAAAGGACCTACTATGGAGCCTATGGGTAGACCCTCAGGCATGCAGCAAGATTTCGGGGTTGCTGTTCAGTGCCTTTCTTCAAGCCCGCGAGTCGGTGTATTGGCCTTAACCCGAAGTGTCCACGTCGTGCTTACAGTAACTCGACGTGCGGAAAGGGTTCATATCAGGAGTGAGTGCGTGTGTGTGTGTGTGTGTCTCTGTCTGTGTGTGTGTGTGTGTGTGTGTGTGTGTCTCCGTCTGTCTGTGTGTGCGTGCGCGTGGGCGGGTGAGTTCTGAGTAAGTGAGTTTTCTGTGAGTGCGTGTGTGTGTGTGTGTACGTGTTTAGTTGCTTACTTGCTTGCTTGCTTGATCTTGTTTACCTGCGTGATTGTAATTACGTTTGTGCGTTTGTTTGTTTATATGGTTGTTTGTGGTTTGTGTGTTCTGTGTTTTGTGAGTTCCGTTTACTTGCTTGTTTGCTTGTTTGGTTGTTTGCTTGTGTTATTGCGTGATTGTGCGTCTGTGTGCTTGTTTGTTCATTGGCTTGCGTATTGATCGCGTAGCTGTTGAGCTCATGATCTAGACATCTGCAAAACTCCAAGCGAAAACAGAGACTGCATCGTCATTCTTATGCAAAAGGACAATGAAACAAGACTTCAAGACAGCAGTAGGTTTGATACTTGAGCCATGTGCAAATAAAAAACAAAACAACCAACTAATCAAATGAACGAAATCCCTTCATCCGTTTAATATAATAACCCCGCCCCCCAATACACAGACTGATTTTGGGCCTTGATTTTTTAATATTGGGGGGATTTCGGGTGGATTTTCCGAAATTCGAGAGTTTGGATTTTTACTGCCAGGCAAGGGCACGAGAAGCATGGGGCAGGGCAAAAGAGCGCTAGCCTGGGAGCTCCGGTTTCGAGACAGCAATTACCCGCCCTAGCCTCGGAGCCCCGAAAACGCCACGCGCCACGTTCTAGGTGTGTTCACTCGCCTAGCCTTGGGAGTTCCGGATCGAGACTGCAATGAAACATGCAAGATATTCCGGAACTCCCGGGCTAGGGCGAGTGAAAGCACCTAAAGTCCCAGGGCTAGTGTCAGTAAAAGCTACCAATGCGCACCCAGGTGGCCTTGCCAGGCAGAAACCAATGCGCACACGGTTCAGAATATCCAATTCTCCATGCCGGCCGTTCCACTTCCAAATGCGGCACTTATCCTGGGAATTCCAAATCTATAGACTGCCAAACCCTGGAATTCCCACATCCGGACTCCCCTCGGACCTCCCTCGGACGCCGCGCTCCTGCTCCAAATGTCCGCATTCTATTTGCAAGCAAATGCCCGCCCCACCCTGGTAATAATCCGGGATTCGTTCCAATCGCCTCATGCCCCAATTCAACATTATTCGGCCGGGGAATTCTTTATACCTTTCAAGGAGTCCTGAAAGCAACCTTTAAAAAGAGCCCTTACAATGTACAAGAAGCCCTGTAGCATCCTTTGAAGGAGCCCTTACGTAATCCCATGAGGGTTGCTGGAACATTGATGGATTCCGTGAAAGGGACCCAAGCCCTAACCCTTATATAAACCCTACACGGGATCCTAAATACCCCAAGGCTGGTTTTCAGTGTCCCAGAGTGGCTGTCGCAACTTGACTGGGTTCGATCGGGAGTCGGCTCATAGGCTTTCAACTACTTGGCGGGTCGGGGGACTTAGTAACTGGTTATTTTGAGGACTTATAAGTACCATAACCCCAATTAGAGTCCCTTTTAGGGTACTTATAAGTCTACTTCCTACCTACCTACTAAGTCCCCCGACCCTCCAAGTAGGGGCTTAATAACTCTCAAGGACCATGTACCCTTTCGAAATGTCCCTTCAAGGGTTCACATAGCGGTTCTATAAGGGCTTTGGGGCTTAGGTGTCAAGGGTCCATGTAGCCAAATAGCTAATACTTTAGGCCTTGAAGTGGTCCCTATACAGACACTTTGGGGCGCTGGCCCAAGCATATTACGCACCATTTGGGTACATGGACCTTTAGGGTCAGTACAGAATATGGGGTTCCTGTGGTTATGATAAAACTCAAGGCAGGATTCAATTCGTTTCTATTTGGGTCCGAAGCGCTCACAAGTATTGGTTGGAACAGGATTGTTTTAAAAGGCGGTTATAAGAGGTTCTGTGCGAGTTTTACTGGGACTTTACAGTACAGAGACCTTATAGTGCTTGGAACAGGTCTTGCTGGCATGTTAATTCTTGTGCAAGTTTGTTCAGACTTATAAGGTGAGATTCGTAAGAATTAATATAGGGGCCTTAATAATTACTTATGCTGTTGTGGCGGGGGGGGGTATTATTTCAGTAGTATACTGGCCCCAAAACCGTATTCCAATGATTAAGGCCCCTATATTATCCCAGGCCCTTTCTCGCGGTGTTTGGGTTTAGGGTTGCGGTCTGGTGGGGCTTCAAGCCCTCACACGTGAAAGCCTGTTCGTAGCTGGCAGTGTGAACCGCCAAGGAAGTACCCGATGTCGCTCGTGGTCCAGCTGTTTTGGAGTTCCTGGGCCTGACACAGGCTTAACGACCTGTACCCAGAGGGTCCATGTACACTACCAGTATAGAATTATGTCCCCAAAACCATGGTCTTTCGGGACTTAATTCCATAATGGTACTGTTTTTGGACCTTCTGGGATACATGGAGCCCCAAAGCCTAAACACGTAGGGCTTTCTAGGGGTTGCCACAAGGGCTGACGGGAAGACTTTGGAATCACCCGAGAAGTATGCGATCGGGTCACATGCACGCGGTGGTCGAAAGGGCATCCAAGTGAGTCAAACGAGCATCGAAGTAGGGCAGGCGAGATTAAACCTCAAACCTCAGCCGAGTACCCTGCTTGAGCCGAACAGGTTCCGACTTCTTCTTGACATTCTTCACCGGCTACTACCACAAGGGTTTCTTGATCGTGCAGCGCTGTAAAGTTGCTCGCCAGTATGCGAAGACCTGGATGCACCTCGGCGGTCCCAGTTGGGAGTTTCCGAATATAGGGGATCCTAATATAGTACCCGAAATAATAGAGTCCTTATTATAAGAACCCCCAAATAAGAGACCCACAATTTTCGGAAACTTTACACCCTACAAAGCCCTGTCAAGGAACCTTTACAGTACCCTTATAGTATCCCTGTAAAGGAACCCCAAGGTGCCCCACGTTCTCAAGGCAGTTCTTCTCGACTAGGATCTCCGCGCAAAGGACTTTTTTCCCTTATTCCCTGTGGTGCATCGTCAAAGGGTTTAGGGTTTAGGGATTTGGGCACATGGACCCTTGGAGATATAGCTACTTGGACCCTTTTTCAATCCGTGTCGCAGCGACAGACTGGGAAGCCCGCCCAACCCAAGTGCATGGTCGAGTAAAACTACGGGAAAAGACTCATGGGACTTAGTAGGTAAGGTTATAAGTAGGTTATAATTAGTATAACCCCACTTAGGGGACTTATAACCCCAATTATAACCGACTTACTAAGTCCCATGATCCTCTAAGTAGACCCTAAAGCCTAGACCCCATAGATTCCCTTAAGGAACCCTATAAATCCCTTTAAGGAGCCCTTTAGGAACCCTTACTAAGTCCCATGATCCTCTAAGCAGAGGACAGAGCAGAGCCCAGAAAAGCTGAAGCAACCTCCGTAGTAGTAGCATTTTCCTGCAACAACAAGCTTGTGTAGCAGTTTCGAGGAGTGTAACATGGTTAAAAACTTCATAAAGTAATGTACCCAGTTCACTTGAGCTTTGTAGGTGCCTTTCAAGCTTGAGGGTTGTGGGCTTTTCGCTGTTTTCGACTACGCTAGAAGCTGCTGGGGCTTCGAGTTTAGTTTTACGGCGTAAAGGTTTAGGGTTTAGGGGGTGAGGGTTTAAGGGCTTCTTGAGTTTATTGGACTTCATAGCATCCTAAACCCGAACCTTAGCTTGCGCGACTCGCTCATTTCTGCCTGTTGGAAGCCCAAACCCTAAACCCTAAGCCCAAAGGCTCTTTGATCTGACTCTGATCCTCATCGACTGGATTGTCGACATTATGTATTTGCTGACCGAGGGCAGCTCCTTTGCTCGAGGTTTTGGCCGTTCTCAGGGTCTAGGGTTATTAATAGGGTTTAGGAGCCACAGTTTAGGGTTTAGGGTTGGGGCACTCGCAAGTACTGGATTTGATGGTTGTTGGATGTTGTTGGCGTTTGTCTTCTCACTGGCTGTGCGATTCATTCCGGAAGCTTCTCTAAAGTCATAAGCTTGATCTGCTCACCTATCCATCTGTTTAGGGTTTAGGGCTTAGGGTTTAGGGAATCTACCTACCTATCTATGTCTCTTTGTATCTATCTAGATCTCTCTGTCTTTAACTACGTGTACCTAGACCAACCTATATTCATATTTGTATCTACAAAGTAGATCTGTGCTTACGTCTATGTCTATATCCTTGCCGTCTATATCTCTAGTCAACTACCTACCTATCTATCTATCTATCTGACTATGTCTCTCCCGCTTTCTCATGCGCTCTGACTGTCTCAAAAAAGCAAGCTAGCCAGCGAGTCTAATTGTATTGGGCTTGAGGATGCTGGGCAAGAGTTCACGGTCTTCATCATCACGTATAAGAGGTTTGCGGTAGTTTGGGTGACGTTGAATCGTGACCGGAATGTCCATGATGACGGTCATGATGACGATGATGATGATGATGATGTTGATGACGACGACGATTCTGATGATGATGTTGATGATGAAGAAGATGACGGTGCTGATGCTGGGGATGATGCTGATGACGACGACGAGTCTGATCGTGGTAACGAAAAAGAAGATGATGATGGTGGTGATGGTGATAATGATGGCAATGACAGAGCTGAGCAACAGCAGTGGTTGCATTGAAAAGTCACCGGGATAGCTATGATGATGGTCACGAGGACGATGAGGATGTTGATGAACAATATGATAGCGATGAGTCAGCGGGGTAACAGCGAAGGTTGCACACCCTTGGAAACAGTCGAACAGCGAGATTGATGCTAGCTGTGAAAGTCGACAGCAGGTAGGGCATACAAGGCTAAATGCTAGACCCTCAGGCCCGAAAACCATATAGAGACCTTTATGTCCAGCTCAGGTGCCACAGAGCTTAGCCGTACAGTCCGAATGTTTCGGCTTCTTCGCCTGGTTCGCGTCGCACGAGCCCTCAAGCTGCGACACCGGTTCACGGCAATGCAGGACCCTGCATTCGGAGTGGGTGGTGTTTGCACTGTGAATAGTGGTGTGGAGACTACAAGGGTTGGAGACTGTGTTGCAGGTTCTCAGAACATTGAGTCCTGGCAATGACAGCTGTGTCATGTGGAGCAGCAGGTAGTTATACTTTTCTTGCAGACCCCTCGCTTTCCGGATATCGGTATGCTTTGCACGGAAGCCCCCTATTTTCCTCTAAGCCCACGTGCCTAGGAGCTGGACAAGTGAGTTTTAACCTGTTTGTGCAAAAACACTTAACCCTACAATGCTTGCATAAGCTGCACTACAGCACGTCTTGAGCCCCACAGAGCTTTTTGAAGCATGTGCATAATGAGGCCATGCTAAGGAACTAACTCTGAGAATGTATTTAGAGTTTTCAGGATTCAGGCCAAGCACTAAACCCTACACCCTAAAGCCTGAACACGTAACCCCAAAACCCGAATATTGGGGGCTAAATAATTACCAATACTATCATCATATTTATAGTATAATACGCCCCAAAACCCGATTCTAATTATTCAGGCCCCTGCCCGAAACCCCTGAACCCTAAACCCTGATAGATCCCTTTAAACTACTATTTGCTTAAGAACCCCCAAAAAAATAAAAAATATCTTCCTTATGGGGGTAATATAGGGATTATTTTCTTTTATTTTTTGGGGGTTTCTTAAGCAAATAGTAGTAAAGGAGCCCTTAGGATGCCTTAAAACCCTAAATCCTTCGCTTTCGCCCTGGCCGTGTGTGCCAGGACGTCATCGACTCCCAAAGCGCCAGCTTGTACCTGAACTTTGCGGTGAGTCTTGGCCACTGCGCTGTTTTAAGGTCTATTTTCACCCTGAAAAACCTGCCCTTTCAGGGTTCCTTATTATGATTTCTTGATATAAGTCCATAAAAAGTTTAGGTTCTTCGGGGTCAAGGTACGGGTTTAGAGTTAAAGACTGCGGTACTAGTAGGTTGTTCAGTGGTGCGTTTTCTGTGTGTGTTTCTCGGTTTCCCCGCATATTGAATCTTACCAGAGGAGGAAATCTGTGCTTCTTGCCAGTGCGATACGCAACAGCCTAGGCCAACTTCTGATGCTGGTCCACTGGGTAGCCTGTGGTTGGTTTGGGGTGACTTGGCTACATGCCGAGAACTGGGTGGCATCCAGCGATCTGCATCACCGGGATTCGCTATTCCAGTACCTGACCTGTGTGCTGTGGGCCTTTTGTCAACTGGGTGTGGGCGAGAGTCCCTGGCAGCCGACGAACACCTCCGAAATGATGCTGAACAGTGTCATTGCCTTCACGGCCCTCATCACCGCTGCCATGCTCATCAGCACCATGGGTGGCCTCATCGCAGGGCTGAGGAAACTGCGTGAGGACCAGCCTGCTCCAAAGCCTAAGGCTCTAAACACTGTAATACTAGTTGATGATATACATCCTGCTTTACCTTAAGGACCCTGAACTATGGGAAGTATGGTATAGTGCTTATTACCAACATCGCTTAACCCTGAGTTCCTAAATCCCTTTACCCGGAACCTCTGAAAGGATATACGTTTAGACCCGAAACGCTTGAACAAAGACGGTAACGCCTAAGCAAGAATGCCATAACATAAAACTTACAGGCAAGACACTCAACACGAAGAGAGCGTCTTCTTGTTGTGTTTCAGGTTCAAGCAGCCACCTCCCTAAACCCTAAACCCTGTAAGCCCTAAACCCTCAACTCCAAAACCCTAAACTCCAAAACCCTAAACTCTAAACCCTAAACTCCTACACCCTCCTGAACTCCAAAACCCTAAGCTCCAAAACCAAACTCCTAAACCCTGAACTCCAAAGCCCTAAACTCCAAAACCCTAAACTCTAAACCCTAAACTCCTACACCCTGAACTCCAAAACCCTAAACTCCAAAACCAAACTCCTAAACCCTGAACTCCAAAGCCCTAAACTCCAAAACCCTAAACTCTAAACCCTAAACTCCTACACCCTGAACTCCAAAACCCTAAACTCCAAAACCAAACTCCTAAACCCTGAACTCCAAAGCACTCCAAAACCCTAACGTCTAAACCTCTAAACCCTCAACTCCCAAACCCTAAACTCCACCTCCTTCAGGACGAGCTTTCGAGTTCCGACTCCTGCGACGGTATCTGCAGAAGCACGAGATTCCCACGGATCTGGGATATCGGGTCGCTCACCTCTCATAATATAGGGGGTCTATAAGGATCCCCTTAGTAGTTCTTGCGCGGTTCTTCCTGGTGTCAAGGGCTTTGTAGTGGGTGTTTACTTGGTGCTAGATGGGAACTTCCTTCACAAGAACCCGACCCTAAACCCTAAACCCCTAAACCCTAAGCCCTAAAACCCGAAGGCCCTAAACCCTAAACCCAACACAGGTCACGCAGTTCTTGGAGCATCAGTACAACGAGAGGCAGCATGCCAGGTCGTCGCACATGCAGGCGGGCCTGCCAAACGCCTTGGTGTGCATTTGTAGGTCATAACCCAAAGGGTCCATGTACCCAAGTAGTATATACTTTGGCCCCAAAGTACCTCTGTACGGAGTACTTAAAGGCCAATGTATATGCTATTTGGGCACATGGACACTTAGGGTAAGTTGTGATTCAGTCATGATCTCAGTGGGGTCTTCGAACACAACGTGACAAGGAGCTGATCAGTAATCGACATTCCCCAATAGCCTAAGTGTTTTTATACAGTCCCAATAATCTTCCAAATAGTAACCCTTAGTTCCCCAGCATACTCGTCAAGTAGGAAACCCTCTTCAAGCCTAAACCCGTAAATCCCTAAATCCCAGGATACTCGCCAAGTAGCTTTGAACAAGAAGGACTCCCTGACCTCAAGGCGCAAGATGAATGCGACGACCATCTAAACCCTGAACCTTAAGCCCCAAACCCCGAAACCCTCAACCCCAAACCCCAAACCATAAGCCCAAACCGGAAAACCCCAAGCCGTAACCCTAAGCCCCCCACTCTCAAACGGTTTGAACGCCTCTGAAATCCGAATCACCAGACTCGAAAGCACGCAGATGCGCAGGTGCCCTTGCTCGACCTTCTCTCTCGCCCCATGTGTCCAGACTCCTAGAATCCATGTGCCCATGAGGTTGCCATTGAGGCTTCCTTTAAGGGTCTCTTGTGGGGTTTTAAAAGGGGTTTCTGGGTTTATGAATTCTACACGCATACGGTATATACTTCTCGGCCTGAAAGGACCTAGCTAAACACTACTGCGAGGCCTAAGTGCATACTACATGGCCCAGCCCCTGTACAGGAACCCCGAAGCAATGGCTCAAGCCCTACAACCGAAAAGCCCATAGAGCCACTGAGTCCTACAAGGATCCCAACGTGGATAGACGCCATGATGCCCCAAACACTTCCACCGAAAAGCCTCCAAAATGTAACATACGATGCTCCATCTGCAATCCCCACTGAGCCTCTTGTTCCTTTCTAAACATACAGCAAACCCCTACCGCCAACATTTCCAAGATCCGAAATAAAAAAACGCCTGTTGTAGGTTCCCCGTTTCAGTGGCTCTGTCTTCGATGATTGGCGCATTGCTCCCATGGTTTAGGTAGAGTAGGTAACCTTTAACCTTTTTTGGGTAGTATAGTCCCTGTACAATCCCTATATAACGAAAAAGGTTAACCTGTAGTTCCCCATGATACCCGACAAGTAGGGGATAAGACTAAGGCAAACACGGTAGCCAATAGAAAACCACGGACCAGCTAAAAACAGGCTTGCGTCTATAGAACTGCATCGGAACCCTAGGGCTCCTGGACCCTCGTAGTGAGATCCCAAACCTTAGCCCCCAAAGCCCAAACCCTCCCCCTGAGATCCCATGACCCCTTTCGGAGCCTTTGAGAAGACACCAGAACATTGCAAAGCCGTAAATGCTGAAGCAAACGAAACTCTTGACTCCACCACCACCCTCCTTGTACCCTCAAATAGGGGTATGTGGTCCCAAATTGGAGGTATTTTAGAGTCTAATAGAGGGTACCTGGAGGGTCTAGGAATTCAGAAAGACATTCTTGAAACGGCGGAAGAATGTTTGGCCTGTTTTAAGGTAGATTCGTTCCCAAATTGAAGGGTTTTGTGCCAAAAGGGACCCTAAACCCCAAAAGCCTTAAAGAACACCTAAGAGCCACAAACTATAACGTTTCATTAGCAAACAGGAGCCCCAAACTCCAAAACTTCAACCCTAAATCCTAACCCGAAACCCTAAACCCAAAACCGTTGGAGTATTATTTCAATCCCTTATGGATCCCTTTAAAGGAGCCCTTCAAATGATCAAAGCCCGGAAGTCCAAGACCCTAAGGACTCTAATTATGGTATATTTCTTATTTTAGGTAATGCAGGATTTTTTCCCTAAACCCCAAGCCCCCTATAGATCCCTCAAAGGAGCCCCTTCAAAGGAACCCCCAGATTTATATCATCAACCGTAATCCCTTCCCCCTAATATTAAAACCCCCCCCCCCCTAATATAAAAACTGGAAATCGGAGGTTTAGTTTTTATATTAGGGGGGGTTTCGGTTTCGGGTCCTGCAGGTATGAGTCGGACTGACAGGAATAATTAATTAATGAGGCAGCCAGACAGTCCGACGGCTAAAGCCCGAAAGCTCTAATCCCTAAACCTTGAGCCCTAAAGCCCTCAACCCTAAAGCTTAATTACAGTCAGACAGTCAGACAAGTCAACAGCGAGCAAATCCTGCGCAGCCGTTCCGGCTGCGCAATTAGTACTGCTGTAATTAATCTTTGCCTCTATAATTAAAGCCCTGAGCCCTAAACCCTTAAACCCTAAAGCTCTGGTGTCTTTAGTACTACGGTAGTCTTCCTTCAATTAAAACACATACAGATCTGCCACCCCCCCTAATGTTGCCCCCTTTAAATTGAATGTGGGGCCCGAACCCGCGAAATTCCGGGGGCCGGCAGTTTTTATATTAGGGGGGGATTGAATGTTAGGGGGAAGCGATTATTGAACCCAAAGGATGCAAGAGCTCCAGTTCGAGCGACATCGACCTGCGCTCTGCAAAATCGGTGCCATCAAGGCTGGGAGTTAGGATTTACTTGGAGGGTCGGGGGACCTAGTAAGTAGGTAGTAAGTAGACTTATAAGTACCCTAAAAGGGACCCTAATTGGGGTTATGGTACTTATAAGTCCTTAAAATAACCAGTTACTAAGTCCCCCGACTCTCCAAGTAGGGTTTAGGGTTTGTTATCATCTAGGGTTCAGGCTTTAGGGTTTGGGGTTTAAAGGTTTAGGGTTCAGAGTTTTCCCTGGAGGCTCCTTAGGAACTATTGTTTTTTGTTTTTGTTCACATAAAACCCAAGAGAGTATACACACATAGTATCCTATGGTTCCAAGGTGGGTATAGTTCCTCGACCCCAAATTACCCACCTGTCTAGGCTTCCCTCACCTGTTTTCTTTGTATCAGTCTTTCAATGGTAGGCTATTTGGGGTTAAGGTAGGGTTTATGGTCTAGGGTTTATGGTTTAGGGTGCAGGGTTCAGGGTTCAGGGTTTCCGGTTTGCCGTGGTCACAGAGAAGCCAGGGAACGCTGTGTGACTATGGGGTTCTATCAGGGTGCCAGAATGATTCTTCAGCTGAGTCACGGGGTTTAGGGGCTTTAGGCCTTGGGTTCGTGGTTTTAGGGTTTAGGGTTGACTAAGCTGAGACTGTGTGTGTTCCTCTTTCCTTTCTGCCGCCCCCACCCCCAAGCGAAAAAGTCGGCGTTGGTTCAGGATTCCGGCAAACTGCCGACCTTAGCCATGACGTGTGTAAACGTCCTTGACGCGTTACAAGCAGGTTTTCCAACCCTACTCCATTCAGGTGCTCGAGTTTACGGTGTATCCCTTGGGTCTAGGTTTTGTGGAAGGAGAGGTCCTAGGTCCTAAGTAGGGAGGGTAGGTAACCTTAAGATCCTTAACGAAACACTCTTAAGTCCTACGGTTGATGATATAAATCCTGCATTACCTTAAGGACCCTAAACTACTGGAATTATGGTATATTCCGTATTATGGGTAATGCAGGATTTATATCACCAACCGTAGAATCCTGACGTTGAACTTTGAGTTTTCGCCCAAAAGGCTTCATGTAGACCCTAAGCCCGAAACCCCATAGATCCCCTTCACCCTGGGGATCCTAGGACTCATATAGGGTTCCTTTAAAGGGATCTATAAAGGGTCCTTTAAAGGGATCAGTAGGTTTAGGGATCTAAGGACTCATATATTAAGGCTTTTGGGCCCAAAGACCATACTATTTAAGGCTTTTGGGCTATTGTGATCCCTAGGGTCAAGGAGCCCTATAGACCCCTTCAGCAGCCCTTTAAGAACCCTTACGGTTCAGCGTCTCAGGGGTTCGGGGTCCCAGAGACTCCAAAACCCCTTAATTAAGGAATATACCTTAAATTAGAGTAGGATCCCTAATATGATTTAAGGAATATTCCCTAGTTAAGGGATATTGGAGTCTCTGGGGTTTAGGGTTCTCCTAGAAGCCACCGATAAACTGCTGTCCGAAAAGGGTTTAGGGTTTGGGGTATTCAGGGCTTAGGGTTTAGGATTCAGGGCTTAGGGTATTCGATTCAGGGCTTAGGGTTTAGGATTCAGGGCTTAGGGTTTAGGATTCAGGACTTAAGGTTTAGGATTCAGGGCTTAGGATTTAGGGATTCAGGCCTTGGTGAAGGAGAACGACGCGCCTTGGAACCGATGCAAGCATGGCTTTGTTTCCCTTGTTTTGTTAAACCTAGTTCTTTGAGTAGTTGTCAAAATTATGGCCCCTTTTGGGGTACCCCAAATATTAGGTGCCGTCCTATATTAAGGACCCAAAAAGGACCATAATTTTGACAACCACTCCTTTATTAACAAACGGGTCTAGGGACTGTTTTGGTTTGGGTGCGTTTCTAGGTTCCTGAGTAGTGCCCTTTTGCCCTTTTTAGTTTAGGGTCCCCTTATTAAAACCGAAGAGTAGGAAAAAGGGTAGTATAAAGGGGTTACTCAGAAACCTAGGTTTCTTCATACCGATGGAGTTTACATCTGGCATTCAGAGTTCAGGAACTTAGGGCCTAAACCAAGAACCTTAAACCCCAACCCAAAACCCTAAACCAAAAACCTTAAACCGTAAACCCAAAAAAACCCTAAAAAGCCCTAAACCCTGGAATTTACGAGGCTTCAGCCCCTAAGCCGCAAGACAACGAAGGTACATTGCCAACAGGTGCTTCACAAGCGACTCGCCGATGGCTGTGGGGCCCTAAAACCGACACTCCCGGGGCGCTTGAAACTGCTCTCACCCTGCGGGTCCATGTACTCATATGGGTGGTTGTCAAAATTAGGGTCCCTTTTTGGGATACCCTAAATCTTAGGTGCCGTATTATACTAAGGACCCCAAAAGGGACCATCATTTTGACAACCACCCATATATTATATACACTTTGGCCTTGAAGTGCTCCCTATCTAGATACTTTGGATCCAAAGTATATACTCTTTGGGTACATGAACCCTTTGGGAAGTTGAACCGTGAAGACCCTAGAAGCCCGAATAAACAGGATTAGGGCTAGGCTTCTGAGTCGGAATCATAGTATGGTTTCGCCAAAGCCCTATTCTTGTTATGAAGGCCCCTATTAAATCGCTATTACCGTACCCCGCACCTGCACACACAGACGTTTCCAGCTGGACCACAAAGACCCTGTCTGTGACGATGATGAAGATGATGACGACGCTGAGAATGGCGTTTCGACATTGGTCGTTGAGATGATGGTCATGGTGTTGCTGCTGGTGTTGTGGTCGTGGAGTTGGTCGTCGTCGTCTTTAACGTCGTGTGAGTGATTGGAGCCGCGGTCGTTCTCGGTGTGGTCGTTGTCGTTCCCGCTTTGGTCATGGGCTGCGGGTGTGGCTTTTTGTCGTCGTTGCCCTTCTGGGTTTTGTTCATTACATTGGCTCCTCCGGTTCATGATACTTGCCCATACTAAGGAATATACCATAATCCCCATAGTCTAGGCAACGATTAATCCTAAAACCGACCCTAAATCTCCATAGATCGCTTCAAGGAACCCCTTAAAGGTCCCCTTATAGATCCCTTTGAAGGGAATATCATCAACAGTCGTTTGGAGCAGAGTGGGACTGCTTCGCTCCAGGATGGCTTTCGACAGCTTAGACCCCACTGTGGCAGCGGCTGGGGATGTCATTTTCGTCGGTGGGCACAGCGCAAACATGTCGTACATCAAGATGAATGGCCGCCTCAGCTACTTCAAGGATTCGGGGGGGGGGGGGGGGGGGGAACGTGCATGCGACATACCCTCTGCTTCTGGTTTCTGGTGTCACTTTCCGTGTTGAAGCGGTCTGAACAGATCAACCCTGAATCCACATACATCCTTGTCAGTACGTTTCTAGCAATGACTTGTGAGAGGCACTGGGTGCGAAAGTGGCGATTTCTGACGTTTGGGTGACAGGGCTTGCAGGATCCCACAAACGTGAAGCAGCCTAGACCCCAAGCCCTGAAACCATTGGCTCGTTAAATGTTAAACCGTCAGCCCTATGTCATCCATGTGTTTTGAGCTTCTGCCTTCACCTCGGCAACCTTTAGCCCGTATTTTTCAGACTTTTCGCAGTTCGCGGTTTAGGGTTTACCTGGACCCCAAAAGCATGTAGAATAATGACCTTTTATAAGTGCTGGGTCATTTGTTCACTTAGTCTAGGTAGGGTTTAGGTAGGGTTTACCTTAAGCCGGAATAACCTACCTTTTTAGGGTTCCTTACTATGAGTTCCTTATATAAGTCCTTAAAAAGGTAGGCTATTCCGGCTTAAGGTAGGGTATACATGAGAGCTGAGCTGCTCTCGGCCTACAATCTGGCAAGAAGCTCCGACCTCGCCGCTGCTAGTGTGTTTAAAGATCCCCAAACCCCTCACTCAAGCAAGATGGCTTAAACAGATATACTTTAATAACGTAAGATTTACGAGTTGTACTGTTTCCAAATAGTGTGCTCTCATATACTGTCATATGCCATCTTCTACTAGTGTGCTGTTGTTTTGCCTTATCTACAAGATACCTTAACCTACCACAACCTACTGTTTTGTAGGGTCCCTACAAATTCCATAGTAGAGTTTACAATCGGAACCTACCAAAAAGCAAAGTTTGGTAGGTTAAGATAACCCTAAACTCTAACCCAGAGAACCCAATACCCCTTAATTAAGGAATATACCTTAATTCATAGAGACCTTCATATTATGATTTAAGGTATATTTCTTAATTCCTCTTATAGATCCTACAAGGACGGCGACTTCCAGCTTCTCGATGACGCGCGCTGGATTTCGGAAATCTGTCTCTGGGTGACTTGGCTTTGCCCGTACCCTAAGGGTCCAAAGTACCCAAGGGTTTAGGGTTTAGGGTTTTGGGTTTAGGATTTGGGGTTTAGGGTAAAGGGGTAAGGATAGTAGTTATGTAGGTTAGGATTTTGGGGAGTATTTGATCCTTGGACCCTTGGGGGTTACAGCGCAAGCAAATGTGCACGGGATAGCCGAGCGCCCCAGGGTCTAAAATAAGTCAGACTCTACATACAGGGCACCCGGGTCTTACAACATCCCTTCATGAAGGAATAGACCTTGATTCATATTAGGGTTCCGACAATCACAAGGGCATATATTCCTTAGTTAAGGAATGTTGGAAGATGGGGGAAAGCCTCCTAGAAGAACCCAGATTGGCTCTTAACTCATATTCTTGATTCTCTGCCAGATTCTTACGAGGCCTCCTCACGCGAGTCGCAGGGTCATCTGAGTAGTCCGAAACCCAGAACACTGAAAGCCCCAAACCGTAAACCCAAAACCCTAAACATATCTCGACGCCTTAAACCCTTTGCCCAAAGAAGCCCGAAGCCAAATAAATACAGGAGCAACATCAAGGACCCGCTTTTACAGGAACCCAGGAAACATAAGCGCACTAATTAGGGACCCAAAAAGCACATAAGCAAAAGCATTTTACCGGGATATCCCTGGCTTATTGGGCTTCCTTATGAGGGGGTTTATATGGGATATCCCTATCCTATTTTTTGCTTATGTGCTTTTTTGGGGCCCCTTGTAAGCCCTAAACCTTAACCCCATACTTAAACCCCAAACCCTAAAACACTAAACGCCCTAAACCATTTTGGGGCCCTAACGAACGCCCTAAATCGCCAGGAGGTGCTCGGGACTTGTTCCCCCTTGAGAGTCCCCCTCGGAACGCAGGTTGACTACTCTACCAAAACCCAGGTTCCCTACTTGGAGGGGCAGGGGACTTACTGTTGATGGACAAAATCCTGCATTACCCATTATAAGGAATATACCATAGTTCCCATAGTTTAGAGTCCTTAGGGTCATGCAGGATTTTGTCCATCAGCAGTAGTAAGTAGGTTATAGGTATAGGGTTATAATTGGGGTAACTCCATTTAGGGTACTTATAACTCCACTTATAGCCTACTTACTAAGTCCCCTGCCCTTCCAAGTATACATTCCGTATGGGTAGTTCGATTAACTTGGGGACCTACAACGGGATCCTAATTGTGGGAATTATCCAGTTTGGGGCTTATAACAAGAAGAACCTACCAGAAGTAGGTTACAGGGTAGGGTTTGCGAAGTATACTACGGGGCTTATGAGGTTGTTTCTCAGTTGTGATGTGATGTTTCTGGTTAAAGAACCTGTTTGAAGTTACCGCAATCATCATCAACATCGTCATCATCATCATACAAGATACCCTAGATATAATGCTTTCCTGACCCTGAGGGCTTTGAGAGCAAGGTAGGCAAAAGATGTGGAACTGTCAACCAACAGTTTTAATGTAAGGAAGCGCTGCTCCCCCGCCTCCTTCGTTCCCTAGACCCTAAAACGTAAAGCAACCCTAAGCACTGAAGAAACATGAAGCCTAAACCGTATATGCTATACATAATCCTGTAAAAACTTGATGATAAGCCTTGTAGAACCCCCTTTGAATCACCATGATCCAGGCTTGTCCTGATAACCCCTGTAGAACCCCCTTTGAATCAGCATGATCCAGGCTTGTCCGAAATCTTGAATCCAAGAGAAGCCCGCAGAACTTTAGGCTCCGTGGGTATACCTCGGAGATCTCGCGACCTGGCTACTTTTACGTCTTGGTTTTTATTGGTCTTAGTTGGGGTTAGGATATATGTTTCAATAGCCATGTACCCGATTGGGTTAATAGACAGTCCTGGGTGAGGTTTTCGGTTGTGTGATCTAGCTTCAACGCATCCAGACGGTTATCACAAAGACTTGACAAACCCCTACGTAAGTCTTTATCACCGCAACAGAGAGGTTTGTAGAACCTTTTAAAGAACCCTCAGCTTACCTTTATAAACCCTACACCGTAGCACCCAAGGCCGAAATATAATGCGGCATGAAGCCTTCTAGCTCTGAAGAACCCTGTCGCTCCACGAATGTACCCTTTTGTAAGGGTTCTGCAAAGCATTTTTGGGGTTTCGTGGATATCTTCGGGCTTTAAGAGGTTTGGGGCGGGTCAACGGACCTAAGAATTGGATAAATTAGATACTTGGGTGGACTTGGTTTGGGTTTAGGATAATTTGCAGTGCTGTCGGTTCGTATTTTCGTGAATACCTGATTTTGGATACTTGAACCGTTAGGGGAATACCATAAGGGTGACTATAACTTATGTTGGTAATATGGGTCAGGGTTTAGGGTTTCTACAATCTCAGAGATCCCAATATCCCTTAATTAAGGAATATACCCTTAAATTAAACGGGCCTTAATATCATGGTTTAAAGTAAATTCTTTAATTAAGGGGTATTAGGATCTCCGGGATTGTAGGGTTGAGACTCACTATATAGATCGCTTAAACTTCGGCAAGTATACACGCCAAGACCCCATTCCAGTTTTTTAGCGCTGTTTCCTAGACTCGAAGACCTCCGACTACCCCTTATTATCATCGCCCAGGTACCCACGAATAGGGTTCTATTACAGGGCCCTGTTGTTACCTCAGGAGTCTCAGTCGACCAGTGAGATTCTGTGCTTGGATGCCCAGAAGTTTTGCGCGATCTTGGCGGAGGGCCCCTTGGGTTTGTGTTAGTTAGGGTCTGGTTTAGGGTTTGAGGTGTAGAAGTCTTGGTTTTGTGTATTTGGGAATATAGGGTGTAGGTCTAGAAATATTGCGCGATCTTGGCGGAGGGCCCCTTTTGGTTTGTGTTAGTTACTGTAGGGTCCGGTTTAGGGTTTGAGGTGTAGAAGTCTTGGTTTTGTGATGCATTAGGGGGTATAGGGTTTAGGGTTCGGTTTTGGGGTTCCTAGAGTTTAAAACCCTAGACCCTAAACACTCCTAAAAGAGTTTAGGATTTAGGATGAATGACTTTTGGCGGTGGAGGGCCCAATGGCTTTCGCTGTTGGAGCTTTCCTGTTTTTCAGGGTTTCGGGGGCTCTTTAGAGATTTGGGGGTTTGAGTAGTATATACTTTAGGCCCAATGTACCTAAACAGGAACTACATGAAGGCCAAAGTATATACTATTTGGGTACATGGACCCTTCGGGCTGAGACATTTCAGAGCTTTGGGAGTTTACTTGGAGTGGCAGGGGACTTAGTGACTTAGTAACTTAGAAAGTAGGTTATAAGTAAGGTTATAATTGGGGTAAGTCCATTTAGGGTACTTATAACTCTACTTATAACCCACTTACTAAGTCCCCTGCACCTCCAACTAGGAATGTTTAAGGGCTTCTGGGCCAGTGTGCTTGTCTTTCCTTTCCCAAAGCGTCCATGTACCCAAATAGTAGACACTTTGGCCCCAAAGTGCTTGTATAGGGATTACTTTAAGGCCAAAGCAGGTACATGGACCCTTAGGGTTTTCTTGTGCCTGAAGTTGACTGTTCTGGAGTAAACTGCAGATGACGGTTGGGGATAGAAATCCTGCATCACCCATAATACGGAATATACTATAATTTCCATATATTCCCTATTTTGGGTAATGCAGGATTTATATCATCAACCGTAGTTTGACGGTTTTCTGAGAACATCTGCACATCCGCTCCCTCGTGCTCTCAAAGACTCAGGATCGGACACCCACGATGCGGCCAGCAACTACGCGCGACGATTTATCAGTGTGGCTCAGACTCAGACAGGTTTATGGCGTGTTAGTGTAGGGGCCTTATGAATTAGAATAGGGTTTTGGGGCCCGTTATACCAGAACTATAATAAGGAACCCCCCAAAATAGTATTGGTAATTATTTACGCCCATTCTACCACAACTACAAGAAGGAATCCCCCAGAATAGTTATTATTGGTGATAATTTTGGCCCCTGTAGCAGTCCCTTCGAACCCTAAACTCCAACACCAAGAGCCCGGAACA